TACAAAGGTCTATTGTCAATGTGAAACTGTCTTTGAGATCACCTCACCATCTCTTTTTAGACTCAGGAAGTCACCTCATTAATTTACCCTTTTGCCCATTAGAATAAAACCTTTTAAAGTGCTTCAGAGTTCTTTGTCTCCTCTTTATCTCTGTTTTTCCCCCATGTCTGAATTCTATGGTAGAGTAAAAGTCTCATCCCATACTGTGAAATGTGTTTTCCTTTCGTAAGGAATCTTTTCAAAGCAGATTAAGAATAAGCATAAGTCTTAGTACATATAAATAGTAGTCTTAGAAAGTCAGGAAAATAACTGCTTCCTTTGTTCACATGGATAGGATAAGAAGTAATTGGATTAAAATAATTAAAAAAAAAGTTTAAAAATTTCTTTACTTCTTTGCAGAAAGAGTGGTGAGGTATTAGAACAGACTGCATAGGGAAGTGATAGAGTTATCAGCCTTGGAATGACATGATACAGAGTGGTCACAAGCATGGATTGATTGTCAGACTAGATGATCTTTGTGGTCTTTCCAACCTTAATGATTCTATGCTTCCATGATTCCATGAAAATAATAAGTCAGAGATTAGTAAAAATTAAAGGAGTAATTAAGCACAGTTGCCTGAGGAGTCTATGGGATTTTTCTCTTTGAAAGACTTTAATTAGATACATCCAAAAATGGAACAAGCATGAATTAAGTAGAATGATCCTGCTTTCAGAATGACATTCTGATATTCCAGCCAGTGCCATTTTCTGTGGCACAACTCTGTACAACAGTTTTGGCTGTAAAAACTGCCTTTTCTAGATTGTCAACGTCAGTCTTAGATCAGATTCTTCCAGAAGTAAATAATTTAATTGGACAAATGAATGCAATGCAGTGTGTGATCAGTTATTTAATGAGAAGGATGGATTTCTTTCCAGTGCCAACCAATAATTTTTGTTTCCTACTGAGCAAGAATGCCTACTGAGCCACACTGAAGTACTGTCTTTTTATGGCACATAACAAATGACTAAAAGAAATTGGGTCATTGGAGTGTGAAAGGCAACATAGGTGTGTAGTAAAATAGAGGCTCTATCTTGAGATGCTCACTATCTCAAGCAGCCACAAAAGTCACAGAGGAAGTCCGAAGACAGAAATGCAATGAGATATGAAATCAAATAACCTTTGAGATCCTTTTCAACCCAGGCCATTCTATGATTCTGATTCTATGATTCTATGATTCTATGACTAAAATTTTTATCTGAACTTCTGTTTTACTAACAGCACTGCATTGCATGCACAAGGGCTTTCTTTTCTGAGATATTACCTTTGACTTAGATTTTTGACCTACAGGTTTGTCAAAGATTTACCAATCCACTGGATGAACTTCACTCCATCCTGGCTTGTTGTCACTTTTTGCCAGTCATTTGCTATTAGCCATTTCCAGAAGCCATATGCTGGTTTGGTGGACATTTGATCTGATCTCATACAGCTATGTTTATTTTCTGATGTTAGATTTTCAGATGTCTAGGACCTGTATTTCCCTTCAGAGACATATGCATCTCTTACTGACATAAGTAGAAGATGTGCTCGCTTGCCCATGGATTAACAAGGAAATTCTCTGATTATTGCCTGACAACAACACGTACGTATTTGAGCATATATGCAAACAAATCATCCCGGGGAATATAGAGCATTCCTGCAAGGGCAAAATGAAGACTTTCTTTCAAACATTCTCTGAGCTTCCCTCCATCCAAATTAGAGCTTGCTTACGTCTGTATTAGTAACTGTGAAATTGGACCGTAAGATGCAGTACTTATTGGAACTAGTCAACAAAAATGAATTTAAAACAGTGAGAAGAAAATAAGAAAAATAAGGTAGACTGACTTATTTTCAGTGCAAATATTTGCATCATTTCTCTATATGTAATCCTCAAGCCCTTGCTTACGGTGTTCTTACTTTAGCCTTCTGTTGTTCGTATTAGAAAAAGAAAAGGATTCTCCAAACATCTTTGACCAGCAACTCTACTGCTTCCATCTCCTGCAGGACATAGCTAGAGACTGCTATTGCTCAATTTGAGGGCCACTGAGCCACAAGGAGGCCAAGTACAGGGAACCACAGAGTTTCATTTCCAAACTAAGTCATTATCTAGTCTTCAATAGCTCTGGCTAAATATATTTTGGATGTAGAAGGTAAAACAGCTTTTAATTTCCTCAGTCTTTTATTGCTGCTGTAGAAAACAAACTTTTGTTTTAATTTGAATGACAAGGAAGGATCCGAATTAAAGTTGCTAATTACAGGGCATTTAATTAATAGCTATAATATGATTCTTTCTTGGGCTACAATCTGATGCCTGAAGAAGAGAAATCAGGTAAATGAGTGGGCGGCAGGCAGCTGTGTCACAGGCATCAGCATTCAGGTGAGGCTATAGCAGGCTTCTCAAAAATCCCTCAAAGGGGTGGCATGATTGTACACTGAAAATATTTTCTTAACTGCTTATTTTATCCCCACAGAAGAAATCTGAACACTTATACCATGTTTAGCTTCCACATTCTTGCCAAAGACACAGTGCAAGATATTCTAGATGGAAGAATTCTGGCAGATTTATTTTTCCCTGAAGCAGTGGAAATAGCCAAAAATGAAATTAGAGCATAATAAGGTCTGCAAAATTTCATTTCCTCGTTTATCTTACAATATCTTCTCAATTTCTCAAGTTTGGATTTGTACAAACACAGAAAAAGGCATGTTAACTACAGCACTCACCCACAACACTGGTCTAGTCTAAATCTATCCTCTCCTGGTTTATCCTCTTCCATTTCCCCTTGTCCTGTTGCTACCTGCCCTTATATAACATCCTATCTATGACAAGTGGACAGATTAAATGTCTACATTACTTATAATGGAATTAAGATGGCCCTATTTTTCTTCATTAACTATAGATGTGGTTAGTGCACATGAATATGTCTAAACTGTAGACATAAAAATATACTTACATGAATCTCACCCTGAGAACACTTGCTTCTTTTTGGTCAGGCCAAAAAAGGGAAGAAAGGGAACAAGACATCCATGGAAGATATTTCAGAGAAAGTGCATTTGCAAAGGAAAGCAGCCATAGTGCCATAAGACAGAGAAATAAGTAAGAAATGCATCTCAATTTGGCAAAAGAAATAAAATTAAAAAAAAAATCCAAAGCTTGTGCCAAAGAGAAAATATAGAGGTAGTAGTCTTAGCAATAGAGCTTTCAAGCCTGTTGAGAAAAGCTGCATTCCTTACATGCTGCCCTGAGGATCTCATCAGGATATCTTGCTTCACAGATACTGTTTTATTCCTGTTCCCATTCTGTTCATACTTGAAATAGCATCAGACCGTCCTTGTAATAATGCACCTGAAGAGCAGCAGGCAACTTTAGCTAGCTCCTGGTATACTTTATTTTGTGGTCAAAATACCATTTTTCTAATCTCTTTTGGGGTCCAATTGTTTATTTAGAATATGTGGTAATTTTGTGGTAAAGTCCCAGTAGGTAGACATTAAGATATTTTACTTCTTTGACAATTACATGGACTTTTCCTACTGTTCGACATGGTGGAAGGAAGGGATGCCATACAGAGGGACCTCGACAGACTGGGTGGCTAGGTGGGCCTGGGTGAACCTGATGAGGTTCAACATGGCAAAGTGCAGAGTTTTGCACTTGGGCTGGAGGAATCCCAGACATCCATACAGACTGGAAGGAATGGTCCTTGAGAGCAGCCCTGCTGAGAAGGACCTGGAGGTCTTGACAGATGAAAAACTTAACATGAGCCAGCAGTCTGCCCTTGCAGCTCGGAAGGCAAATGGTATCCTGGGTTCCATCAGAAGAGGGGTGGCCAGCAGGGACAGGGAGATGATTGTCCCCCTCACTCTGCTCTTGTGAGGCCCCATCTGGAGTACTGTGTCCAGGTATGGAGTCCCCAGTACAAGAAAGACAGAGAGCTGTTGGAGAAGGTCCAGAGGAGAGATGATCAGGGGACTGGAGCACCACCCCTATGAAGACAGGCTGAGGGAGTTGGGCTTGTTCAGCCTGGAGAAAAGAAGGCTGCAGGGTGACCTCACTGCAGCATTTCAATACCTAAAGGGAGCCTACAGAGGGGAGGGGAATCAACTCTTTGAAAGGGTAGATAAGAGGAGGACAAGGAGAAATGGTTTGAAGCTGAGGGAAGGGAGATTTAGGTTGGATGTCAGGGGGAAATTCTTTACAGAGACAGTGGTGAGGTGCTGGAACAGGCTGCCCAGAGAAGTTGTGGATGCCCCGTTCATCCCTGGAGGTGTTAAAGGCCAGATTGGATGGAGCCCTGGGCAGCCTGGTCTAGTATTAAATGTGGAGGTTGGTGGCCCTGCATGTGGCAGTGGGGTTGGAGATTCATGATCCTTGATGTCCCTTCCAACCCAGGCCACCCTGAGATTCTTTGATTTTGTGGTTCACCTACTGGGTGAACATATCTGAGCATTTTTCTTTCTCCCCATAGATATCAGAGAAGGAACCTCTGGTACCACTGAAACCCATGTAAGAAGTTTCACCTATTTGTTGCCTTTAGTTCAGTAGGGACAGATCAGTACATCGGCTGAAAAAAAGGAAGAAAAGGATATAGATATTAACCTCTTCTTTTTGGAGCTTCCTAATTCATATCTATCCAGAAGCCACATCAGCAGTTCTTAACACTACTTGAATGAGGTTGCATACTTACGTTACGCATTTTAAACTGCTATAAATAAAGGGAATGATACAAACCAAATGACTGTGTGTGTGCTTTCCCTCTCATAAAGATCTTATTAGAACTGGCCAGATTTATGTTTGCATGGACGTCATGGCAATAAAGTGTTTCTTTGTACAATACGTGCCACTGCAACACAGCTGACATTACTTTCTGCCTTTTAGATAGTGCGTGTCTAGAAGAGATCATGAGTGTGGGCTTTACATATGCATCACTGAACTGTCTTTCATTTTGCCCTTCTCTGATGAGATGGGCTTTAATTGTGCAGCATTACTCACCTTCCCAGTAGCAAAAATTCTCCAGCAAGTCCCAGGCGCCTCATAGCCATTAAGAGCCCTCTCACAGTCATGCCTTCACAGAAACAGGCAACCACTCTTGCCTTGGGCAGGTGGCTCCGAAGCTTCCGCAGTAACTTGTCAAAGCTCTGCTCACCAGCATTGCTATAGATCTTGTAGGAATGTGCAATGCAGATCCCTTCCTTGGCCGCCATATCTTTGAATGCTTCCATTCCACTTTCACCATAGTTTCCTACATGCAAACAGAAATGTTTATGAATACTTTGAAATTTGCAGTAGCTTCTATTTCTTTGGGAACAGCAAATATTTTAAAGAGTACATAATATATCTGCACAGGGATCTCTGTATCCATCTTATGAAAATAACATCAACTCTTCAATTTATTCATCCATTTTTCAAGCCAGATAAACAAAATTTCCTAAGAAACCTGACTTTTATTTAGTAATCTTTTCTGTTGAAAACAAAAGCTGTTAATTATCTCAATAAATGTATCTGTTCAAAATGTCTACAGCAAAGTATATATAAATTAAGCATTGATTTCTGATTCTCTTAAGTTGACTGAATGTGGTCAGTTGCTCTGGAGCTTACTTCAAAATATCTAAAAATAAATGTTTGGGATATATTCTTAGGTGTAATTTTTTTGAATGTAAATGAAACAAAAAAATAATTAATAACAACACAAGTTTGTTCATAATGAAATCTGAACACAACAACATTCTTTACCAGGCCTGCTGAAAAACACAGTGCTTAAACAGTAGACGTACTGATCCCACTTACTATCACACTGACCAGGACTGTCTTCCTGGTTCCGTGTGCTCCTCCCTCTGGCTTTCTAAATCTGCTTCTTGTCTAATTTAAATCAGAAGGAATTAGAGACAGAAACTCTGTCTTCTCCAAAGTACTGTCTTAACTTCAGAGTACTATTCCACAAAAACACAGTCAATATGTTAATAAGACTGAATGAGCTTGTTAGAGCAATGCCTTTGCAATGAACTGCTGATCTTTTGCTTCTGTTTGTGTGCAGATAGAAGACTCTGTGAGGAAAAATATTTTTTCAGCATAGATAACAGCATGTAAGACAATAGTGAAAATATATGCGAAGTAGTGAGAGTCATAAAACAGGATTTGAACTCTCACTGTCCTCATCTGTTTTTGTGACTTTGGACATTGGATCACTCAGCCTGCCCATATAGGATGATCTTAGAGGCTTTTTCTGATCTTGGTGATTCTATGATTCAGTTATTCTATTGCTTCTAGATTTTAAAGCCTGTATTAAGTTCCAGTATATGAACACAAAAGACTCTATTTCAACTTCAAAGATCATCTGAATAACCAAAAGAGACAGAGTGGAAGAAAGGAAATATTGCAAAAACTTCATGTCACATCAGAAACGAATCACTGAGATCTTGATGCTGGCAACTCAAATGCAGCTCGCCCTGCGTGATAAGCGCCAATTTTCATTTTCCTCCCAGCTGTGACAAGGTCTGATGGAAAATCCATTACTTTGCAAACTGTGTGTGGATTTTTAAACTCTTGTAGCAGTGCTTCTTGGGAGTTGTAAATCAGACACTCAGTGCTTTCTCATGTGCCAGGCTCATAGGGCAAAAATTTCCTGTGGTGTATCAGCATCAAGTGATTCCCATGAGATGCTGAGGGAGTTCAGCTGGAGTTCAAAAACGTGGAGTCTCATGAAAGACTTATTACAGCCTCAAAAGACAGTCTAGAGGAAAAATAGGGGTCAGTCACAAAGAACTTCCATAGACCCTGAGGCCATCTAAAGTACAACTTGACAGTTTGACAAGAAATAGAGTTTATTTAGAGTTATTACTTTGCTTAAAGTTATTCTTATTTAGTCAGTATGGATCAAAGTTAAATGTTTTGTTTCACTTTCCCTAACAGAGAAAAGTTGTACCAAGTTTTGCTGCAGAGTATAGATGTTTGAGGAAAAAAACTGAATTCATAATATATCTCAAAGAAATAGAAATTGTGAAAACTTCATTTTCTATCAAGAAATTGTTAGTGAAAAATTCCTGACTTACAGAGCTTGATCTCTTCAGTGTTCCAAACACTGAACTCTTTGGAAATGTTATAAACATCCAAAACTGTTACCCCAAAGCTTGCTATAAAGCTAAGAACAGGCTTAATTACAGTACTGAAAAAGTAGTACGTCTTGTGATGAGCACAGAATCAATTGAGCAGGAAGGAATTAGATACTGAAAGGTCACTTTCACATCTCCCCTAAGCCTTCTCTTCTCCAAGCTGAAAAACCTCAACACTTCATAAAACACATTAATTCTTTTCATGCCTTTTCCATTACACAAATACTATCATCTCATCATTTATCAGGACAGGGAGGTTTTGTGAAACCATACAGAAATCAGTGCCTCACAAAAAATGAGAGAAAACATGCTGAACTACAAAGGCCAGTTAGAAAAGTGAGACTTTCTTAACATTTGGAACAAATCCATCCCAGCACTCTGAATCTGCAAGTGAGTGAGTTTTCCAACTGGGAAAATTATAGCTGGCTGAACTCAAGAGAGATATGTTGGAAACAGAAAGCCATATTTTTTTCTTCAAGATATTCATACAAACACACCAGTGGAGATTTTGTCATGATCATTTCTGATTAGACACTACTTCTTTAATTATTCATAGTGAATTCCCCTGTTTTGCTAGAGGTTTGATGAGTTATGTATGTTTAATTTGAGTAATACTTTGGGGATAAGGAACACTTCTTGATGGATAAAGGAATAATTCTCTATTAAATTCCTTTGCATTGCACATTACAGTTAATTTCTTCTGAGCGATCTTTTGGTGGAAAACTTGTATGTGTACAAAGGTGCACATATAGCACAGGGAGTGGAAAACTAGGGAAAGTATAGTATATCATTTCCTCAAGAATGAGATGAGGTTCACAGTGGAGAGCATTTCCTTTCTGTGTGGAACTGGGTTTCTCATAGATATTTGATTCTTGGAATATACTTTTATTTTTCCATAATAGAAAATTGCCCACACTGACACAGGAAGAACAAATTTCCACCACCAGGGTAGTTCCCTGTCTTTAGCAAGTTCTAGGAGTCAAGGAGAAATATTTTTGGGCTTACGCATATGTCTGGCCAAGGCACGGATTTCTGTTGAGAAGAGCAATTTTTTAGTTTCACTTCTAAGTGAAAATCTGGAACCAGTGCAACATCTTCTGTGAGTTCCCTGTGACAGAAGTTGCCTACAACCTGGCAGTCTTGCCATGAAGCTATTCTGTTTCTACTTATAAACTTAATGAAAATTCCTAAGAAAAAATTTGAACAGAAGGGAAGGATTGATTTACTGCTATTTGTCTAATTCCAATTCATCAGAAAAAGCTTCCACAAACAACAAAAGCTAGAACTGATGTACGGTCAGTTTATAGTCCTCCACCACCAAATTCCATCTCTGTTTCAGTGTTAGGAAAGCTGCGTCCTTATATTGTACTAGTGTCCATCTCATCTTGAAAGCTTGTGGCATCATCAGAACTGCTAGATACTGGTGACTTTTTGGAAATACGTTACTGTACTCACAGCAACAATGGGCAGCTGTGTTCTTATACCAGCCTGAATCCTGTATGTTGCCTACCTGAATGTCTGGTATTAATCTACATTTAAAAACTGCTCTCACATGTTTCTGCATGTTTTAAATAAACAAGCAATAAAAAAAAAAATGAAATAAAAACCATTGATTACATCAGCATCAGCAATGCTTATCCTTGCTTCCAAGTTGTAAATTTGTGCCAAACTGAGCCAAGTCTCCCAGTCTATATTCCAACTGCAGCAATCTGTTAGTTCCACTTTCAGTGATTCAATACTAGAAAGAAGCTATTAAGAAGCTTAACAAGGACAGATTGTGCTTTTTTCCAGATGAGGGTTAATATAGTACAGTGCATAATAATACTTCAATCTGATAGAACAGGGTCAGGAAAACTGCCGGTTGCTCTTGCTGCTCCTTCTGCCAGCAATTGAGCCAATTGAACCATCGGAACATAACTACGTTACCCAGCAAAAAAAGCAAGGTTTTAAACCTAAAAATAATTTTTAAAAGTACGCTGGGATTTCTTTATGGAATACAGAATGGCTTTTTTTCCTTGTTGGCTTATCTATAATAGTTTGCTGCATGTACATATTTTGTACATTTTTGGGCTTATAAGAGACATTAATTGAACCAGCCTTTATGGAAGATTTAGTAAGTAAAATTGCTTCAAGACATGAAGTTCACCGTAAAAATTCAGGAAGTCAAAGAATAGCAGCCTCAAGAAATTGAAGGTATACATTATACTATTCATTAGCTAGAAATAAGCCTATCAATCACAGAGAAATACTTCCAAAATTTTAATAGTGAAGAGTATAACACAGAATAATATTTTATTCTGGATCTGAACCATGGGAAAAAAAAAAAAAAGAAAGTCAACTTAAAATTCTCAGTAGATATTTTGCAATCAATACAGAGGATAGAGGATATAAACCTTCAGGGTTTTTTTTGTGTGTGTGTGTTTTGGTTTTTTTTTTATTTGCTCTTATTACATCAACAGGATGAACTTCACCAGAAATACCAAAAAAAAATCTAAGTAGGTATAATTTTGAAAATACATGTGGGAGTAATTGAAGATATTTATGAAAGGCAACATGTTCACGGATTATCAAGATGATCTTCCTGAGAGGTAATGTGTAGTATTGTCTCTCTCAGATTGTGATGTTAGAAGCCTCTCTGACTGCTACACCTGAAATTAATCATGGCAAAACACAAGTAGTATCTACCCACTACCCCCTCTTAACGCAAATTTGTCCTGTTATATGCAATTAGCTTTTACATATGAGAAGTTTTTTTCTTTCTTCCTTTGGCAGAAGGCTGGATGGGGCTTTGAGCAACCTGGTCTAGAGGGAGGTGTCCCTGGCAAAAGCAGGGTTGCTGGAACTAGACGATCTTAAGGTCTCTTCCAACTCAAAACATTCTATGATTCTGTAAGATTGGTTTATTGCACCCCATGAAGGGCCAAATGACTATGTCAATAGAAGATTTTTGCAATGAAATGACTGCAAGAGCAATGCAACCAGCCAATTTTGATTGGACTTGAAGAGTTATCAGGCAGCTATAAAGCAGCAAAGGCATGGCACGTGGCAAAAATTCTCCATGATTCATTTAAGAAAGATACCTGCTCTTTCCTAAATCTTGCTGTTACTGCCTTCTTTAAGCACAGACTACTGT